CAACAATATTAAAATGGCAATATATATGTACAAAAATAAATCCTCAAACATCAATATATACAATATTATCTGTACAAATAAAATCTGTACAAAACAGTTTACCTTTAATTTCATAACTGATCAAATTTAAGTTTAGTCACATTGTATCAAAAGGAATATTCATTAAAAAAAAAAAAACAAAAGTCAAATATATCCACCTTTTTAAAAAGCAGAATAAAAGTAGAATTATTGGACGGAATATTTGCTCTTTAAATGTTGATGAAAAAATGTCAACCTTGGCAATCAAGTATAATCATGGAAGGAATGATGATAACAATCTTGCAAAGCATTTGGTTTTAATATAAAGTCTTACAGTTCTTTAATCTGGATTCTTTAATACTGTTGTGTAAATAGGGCTCCAGAATTACGGGCATATTAAAACTCAGCCTTGAAACTCCAGGTCAACCTTCTATGACCACTGCAAGGTAACAGGACAACAAGTGCTTTATTTAACAAGTAAGCTGTGTATTAATTACCCTTGTTTACTTTTTAAATGGTGGCATTATCCTTTTGGTAAATACTGTAATCATGAATAACCTTGAGGTTAATTGTTTAATAAAAACAGCAGTGTTTACAGTGCCTAAAAAAAGTCCTGTGATCATATCACAAGATGGTGGCAGTAATTAATAAGGCCTAATGGTGGCTGACAGTCCTCTCAGAGCCCAACGAGTGGCGGGAATGTTCTCCCTCCTAACATCAATCTCCATGATAGGGTCGCGTGGGGCAGTGCGAGAATGGAACAAGGGACATGCATAGGTCTCTGCTGCTCGTGTTGGATCCTGGATGTTTGGTTTCTCGGACTGTGGCCAGCATGTGATGTGTACGACGGGCAAAGGTGTGCAGCCATGTTTGGGTGGCAGGTCCAGCAGCTCTCCTGTTGTTTTCTCCCAGGCACAGCCCCACATGTACAGGCCAAATACAAACATGCCTTCTTGTGGGGGATCTCGTAACTGAATTGTAAATATACAATTTGATATATCAAATTTTTACATGCACATGTACATGCTCAGATTAGACACAAAATTTTGAATCAACTTCAAACTTTTGGTTCATAGACTTGCTGCCCACACTCAATGAGTGTGTGTGCATGCATGCTTGTGTTCTTAGTTTCTCAACAGATATCTGCAACTTATTGCCAGATGGCAGCATAGTTGCAAGGGTGACACACCGTATGAATGTTTTCTTCTTAAAGTTCTAAACAAACACTGCCTCAAGCTAAAGAAATCTTCAATCTTATCTTTATTCTACTTACATGGTCTTTATCCCTGGCTGTGATCTCTGTCTGGAAGACAAATGGCTCCACAGACCCTGATCTATCCACAGAGTAGTGTTTGTGTGAGTCTTGCTTCAGTAAGGCTAGCAGAGCCTTGGGGTTGAAGAAGGCACCAAGCCAGTAAGCAGGCATCTTCTCACGGCCCTGAAACATTGTACAAGCAATTTTAATAGTGCCATCTTATATGTAACAAAATACTAGTTTTGCCAGGGTTCAAATGTCTTATTTATAACATTAATTACCACAATTTATCATCTGGACTGTTTAGCATACTTTTGATGATGCTTGATGAAAAAACACAACATATGAATTTAGCTGTACAACTAGTCTCAAATTCAAACAAAATTTGACCATGGCCTTAAGCTTATACACACCAAGATAATGATCTTCTCAAAGTGTTGATTTCTCTCAGTCAGTGAGGTAAGCCACTGTCCAAGTGGGTAGTTCTGTGGTGGTGCTGAGTGGCCTGACAGGGCACACCATGTCCTTGGTATCCTCATGTGGTATAGGTCGTCTGCTGCCAGGATCATGTCTGGAGTCAACTGGTCACCAAATGTACCCAGCTCACAGGCGTTCTTGATGGCCTGAAAGAATACACACTTCACTTGAATGACTAATTTATAGGAAGCTGGAAGGTTCCTAGCCTAGGAACTTGTGCAACAGACTGAATTTTTTTAATCTTAAATATATTCAATGTTTTTCCAATTTTAAATTAAAAACACAAATTTCATTCATGTAAAAGATCATACTCCAGTATTGGATTATTCAGGAAAGCTGTTTCAGTTCAAAGGGCAGATCTCCAAAATACTTCATGAAAAATCTTCATAAAAGATACTTTTAAAAAACTTAGTTGGCACGTCATACTTACCACAAGAGTTGATTTGATATCAGTGAGCAGAGCATGCATCTGTTCACACTCTTTCTGTATCCACAGATAAAATGGAGCCTCTGGGTCTATCCTCTCATTCTTCTTGATTTTCTCCAAGACATATTCCTAAAATGAATGAACTCAATTCATCAACTAAGTAAAGAAGTTTATCAACATCATTATTAGTAGTAGTAGTAGTAGTATCATTATTACATTGTAACCCTGATATCAGTTTACTCCTGCATTACCTTAACCTGAAATTTGTTTAAGAGTCAATATGAGTCAACTGGACTACTTATTACACACATTATGTTATGATCCCCATGACCCAAGGGGTTCCCACTTGTAATCTGTACATCATGTAATGTCATAAGCCAATGCAAATTAAACCTTTTATGTGTCTATTTCATTTCAATTGTGAACGCAGTCTACATGGGAGTACCCACCTTGCTGAAAGCCTTTGGCACCTTAGGGATGGTGGTATGGCAGATCTCCCACAGCTCTACATCTTTCCTCAGCTTCATGGCAGCAAAGCTGGCTGTGGCAAACACCCCCATGTTTACTATCTGGGGGTTCAGGCTGTGCATGCTCACCTGGGCTATGGGGGGACCTGACACAAAACACAATGTGGTCTTTATCATTAAGAAAACAGAATACTTTATTCATTTTATCTCTGGGGTGTTCAGCTTCATAAAGTTAATCTACAACAAATAACTTCAATTCTCATATTATTACATATCATCTCTAATTCATAGACCATTACATTTGTCAATGTTTGTCACCAGTGACCGTTACCTTCAAATGGAGTAGGGGGTCTAGGGAAAAGTTTGTGGCTGAGGTTTTCTGACTGCGGCATGTTGTCAAACACCCTGTTAAGTCTGGTAAATACATACTGGTCATCTCCAAGCAGACACTGGAAATACATGGGAAATAACATATGATAAAACTGGTCAGCATTCAAATGTTAGCATACCATCCAGTGATGTTATGACTGTGTAATTATGGTGAGGTTAAAATATTATATTTATTTAGATTTTGAATCACAAAAATGTGATTTTATTATTAATCATCAAAAGCTAGTTATACAAAATGTGTGTTGTTATTAAAATGCCAGTTAGACAAACTGTGATTTATAAAAAAAGTATTAAAATAAATATGTGCAATTTATGAAAATTAAATAAAACAAATTAAACAAGAGTTTTGATTCAAATCAAACTTATATTTGTGTTTCCAGTTGTGAAAACAGAAATTGTACAACAAAAATGAGTGACACTGGAATTGTGTGTATGTATGTGCCTGCAATAAGCTAGCCTATCACGAAAAGTATGAAGATCCCAAGTAGGGCAGTAACAAGGAATGGGTATCTACAGCTAAGTTTACCTTCAAACAACTATATATTAGCTAAGTAAGTCACCCAGGTGAGTGAGATATGAAGTCAATATTTTTATAAGTCACTAACTTTTCTATATCTATTTGAATATAAGCAATTATAGTAACAGGCTTTTAGAAACTTTCAGCAGAATATGTATGCAGTCCTTGCTACCAAATGCATGCAGTATATGTAGCAGATAATAATTCTAGCTCTAAAAGTTAGTAATAAATGTATCCCTTCTTCCTGACTAATTAGGTTCTACTAACACACTGTATACTGAAATGGATGTAGGCATTTGGCATGAAGTTTTTTTTTTTGACACAGTTAACTTGAGAATAAAATGGGATTTCACATGTTGACAGTTCTGTGACTATAATAACATTTTTTCCATAAAATTTGATACCATGTTTAAGAAATCCTGTTCTTTGTTAAAGGTGATGAATGTGTGTGTGTGTGTGTGTGTGTGTGTGTGGAAATCAAGGGGAGGTCATGAATAAATTTTAGTGAATTTTCCCAAAACTGTAAATAAAAGCATTGTACCACTAGCTGCAGTTAAACGGTAAGCCATGCAGAAGTATTTTAGTGTTCTGTCCTACCAGGATACAACAGGAATTATATAAAGCCTGTTCATATCAAGACCAACTTATATCACACTGTCATTCTCTATGTTGTCAGGTGATGTCAATTAGTCTGTCTGATTTAAGTTAGTCCTGATGTGTACACAGCCTGGGTCAGCCCCAGAACCAAGTTCTTCACACAGCAGACAACCATATAGGTTCTGTAAATGGCTGCTTTCAATTCCTGTGTATGTGCAGCTATATGTAAGTTTTATGTATAAGTGCATGTATATATGGAAGCATTTAACTGATGCACAATATTAGACATTATTGTAAGCATTAAATTCTGGTTCTGATGCATTTCAGAGGTAGAAATGAACTGCATATTACTTGCAGCTGATTTCATCCCCTTAATTCCTTGACAAAAACAAAATTGCTGAAAAATTGAAAAAAAAAATGTGAACAAAATTATTTTGATAAAGAAATGCACCAGAACCTTGATATAAGTTTGCCTATTAGACACAACATGCCCTCTACTGATAGAGAACACCAAATACATTACCACTTCAAACCCCTTGAGCCCACGATCCATGAGGGCTTCATAGAAGGCTTTGCTAGCACCATACTGTAGGGGGCACAACCAAACAAGACAAGATCATGGTTATATTTTAGTGCATAAATAAGTGGTGTGTACATGCTGGAGTCAAGTGCAGTTCACTCAACATATGTTGGACTCCCCATATCTTTATCACTTGTAATAATGTATACCTTTAAGACAAAGGCTTACCAGATAAAGTGAGTTCAACAATCCATTAATGACCATGCAGTATTTATCGTGTCTTTAAAATCAAAGTGATACTGACCCCCCATGTAATTTGGAACTGACTTGCTATAAATGAATATATAATACTGTAGCTGTGGACCAATCTGATATATTTCAAAAGTGGAAGTGCTTTGTGATGTTGGTCAACATAATACTAGGGAAGACAGGAGGGAATTGAGTAAAATACATGGAAGAAAAATGTCAAAAGAATTGCACAAGTCTGAGATTTTGTTGATCAAATATTAGTAAATTAGTTGTTTTATAAAATAAGCTTTTCGTAATTTGCAACAGAATAGTTGGCAAAAAGTGGTGGTAATATTAGTAGACAGTCTCACTGCGCATGCAGGAATCTACATATTTCATATCCATAATGCCAAAATTGAAGACAATACCTGTCTACCCCATATATTTCTAGAAACCTATAATGAAACAATAGCATTGCTGACCAAGTCCACTGAAAACAGTGTCACTGTGCATCACATACAGAATACAGTCACAGCACAATGATTTATCATAAGTTAAAAATATGAGACATACTCAGCCTAAGGTAGGTATTCAGGTGAAGAAAAAAATAATGTTAATATTTCTATTAATTAAAAAATACATTATCAGGATTTCTACTGATTCAGAAGAGAAATCTAAAAAAGGAAAGATAATCTATTCACATTTAACCACTAGTTAATTAAAATTATTAAGGACTATGAGATTCATGAAACGACACATTAACTAAATAAATGGTAGGAGTGTGTTAATGAGGGACAGAAGACCATATGACAACCACAGGTTACTTCATACCATATAAGTTGAATGAAAATTGTAATTAGAGAT